GGGCAGATAGGCATTCTCTGTTGTTCTCACCCACAGCTCTGGGAGAGTAATGAGGTATGTTGAACCATAGTACAGGCACATGACAATGATTTCTGTGTCATTGGCATGGATGACAACTCTGCCAACTCCTTCATTCTGGACACTGTAGAGGGTGTGGAGTATTATCCTTGTGTCTGCCTCCTTCTGTGTGGACTCAAGAACAGGAACTTCCCTGACAGAACCATCTGCAAGCACAATGGTCTTTGTCTCTTCTTTAAATCCTCCACCCAAGTAGATACGAGTCAGGCCAATAGGAGGCTTGAGTTGTTTATGCTCACACCACCTCTCACAGAGGAATTGGAGGAGATTTGCTTTATTGGCTGATACAGAAAAAAAAAACTCCTGTGGATCTGGAGCTGTGAACTGCTCACTAACTTCATATACTTTGGCAGATTTTAAGTTTTTTTTTAATTTTTAAGTTAACAGATCATTGCCAGTGGTGGAGAACTCAACATTATTGACTTTATTGGCAAACATGAGTGCAGTGACTTCCCCCCATCCCTCTTCCAGGAAGATGGCAGTATGAGGACTGGTACCAAGGTGAGCTTAGTGAAGATCCTGAAAGAGGAGACCAGAGTGACCATCATTCCTGATCTGCCTCAAAGGATCTTCACTAAGCTCGCCTTGGTACCAGTCCAGTCAATAATGTTGAGCTCTCCACCACTGGCAATTATCTGTTAACTTTAACACATGTGAAGGAAAAAAACATCAGTTGTCATCGACGCTATGTGTGCCGTACGCCACTGGTCTTTTCACAAAGGTGAAACATTTGGACACATTGCTGATAGATATAAAAAAATGCTGATGAATGACCTGTTGGCACTGAGATTATACACTTCTGTTGTGACAGATACAGTGGACCAAGCCTTAAGTCTGCTGAGCAAAGCCGGAGGTACACACAAAAATCTGCCAAAGTATATGAAGTTAGTGAGCAGTTCACAGCTCCAAATCCACAGGAGTTTTTTTTTTCTGTATCAGCCAATAAAGCAAATCTCCTCCAATTCCTCTGTGAGAGGTGGTGTGAGCATAAACAACTCAAGCCTCCTATTGGCCTGACTCGTATCTACTTGGGTGGAGGATTTAAAGAAGAGACAAAGACCATTGTGCTTGCAGATGGTTCTGTCAGGGAAGTTCCTGTTCTTGAGTCCACACAGAAGGAGGCAGACACAAGGATAATACTCCACACCCTCTACAGTGTCCAGAATGAAGGAGTTGGCAGAGTTGTCATCCATGCCAATGACACAGAAATCATTGTCATGTGCCTGTACTATGGTTCAACATACCTCATTACTCTCCCAGAGCTGTGGGTGAGAACAACAGAGAATGCCTATCTGCCCATTCATGAAATGGTAGCAGCACTGGGACCTTCACTATGCTGTGCTATGCCATTTGTTCACAGTCTTAGTGGAAGAGATACAACTAGTTATCCTTATTTCACTGGTAAGAAGTCTTGGTCCAAAAGCAGCATGAGAATGGACATACCTGCACTTGAAGAGTTTGGTCAAAACACAACTGATGACATAACAGATGACCTGCTTCACCAGGCACGAGGCCTCTTCATAAATGTGTATACATCCTCAGCTGATCACTTTGAAGATTCTGATCTGGGGACACTGAGAGCATACAAGTTATTGAACAACAAATCAACACTCTTAAAGCTACTTCCTCCGACTGAAAACGCATTTCTCTTCCACCTTAAGCGGGCAGCTCTGGCAACCATTATTGACAAAAATTCACATATTGCCAAGCCAGAAATCCCCCCTTCAGGAATTTTGGATGGTCTCTGGATGAGGGCCAAGGAGTTGAAGTTCCAATTCCATCTACACAGCCTGTCTGGCCTGTGTCATTGGCCATGGTAATATCATGTGGTTGTGTTAAAGGTTGTCAGAAGAACTGCTCCTGTGCAAAGAGGGCAATTCCATGCTACATAGGATGCCGTTGCCAGGGGTTGCATGCTGCATGCTGAAACACTAGAGAGCAGCGACAGCAGCAGTGACTCCGAAAACAGCAAAAACAAATTGTATAAACATTATTACAGAAATTAGTTATCACCCTGAATTGTAATCTGTTTGTCTGTTTCATTAATTATTATTATTATTATTTACAAATTGCTGCTTAATGTAACAGTTTTAATCATTAAATACTTTTAAAACTACTCCACACATGATTCCTGTGTGTTTTAGTATTTCAACCTTTGTCTCACACTCAGTAACCAGCCTAACCCAAAATCCTCAAATCCTTTTTTTTTCTTCTAGACATTGCAATACAAATAATATATATTGCATAAATATGCAAACTATATACTGTACATACATAAACATCAGTTAATGGTAAACTTCTTTCTTGGAACTTGTTTGAATTGAATTCCCTCTAAATGTGTTATGGACCATAGGGACTGTATGGTTAGTGAAAATGATCAAAATATGATTTCATCTAGTAAAAGTTAACTTCACATGGTAATTTGTTTATTTTAACAACAACAAAGGGTAAAGAATGTTACCGATTACAAATGGATTTTTTTTTTGTTTGTTTTTTTGCCTACCTATGAATTAAGAGGCATTGTTCACTCTTACTTTCTAATTACATGTACAGTCAATGCATCAGATGAAAGCTTATCTTCCACTCTTTTGAACGGTATGCTCAGTTTGTTTCTAGCATAAAGTATCAGGGAGATATGGCTCAGGATTCATAAATATAATCAAACCGTTTTAGCATGTTTGGGTGATTCTGGGGAGTTAAAGCAGAATTTGAGGTAGCATTGTTTTGACCCTAATTACAAGTTTCCAGCAGCTTGTTCACCGGGTTGTCCACCCAGGTTGTGATCCTCAGACATCATAGATTTCATTTTTATATGACAACCTTTTACAGCAGCCCATGTCTGATTTCCTAAAAAACAGGTGTTTTGCCCCCTGTGTAATATCTGGAATAACAGCAGCTGCTGTATATATTCCACAATTTCAAATAAGAATTAAGAAAAGAATTTCTGATCATGTATCTGTGTTTGCTGCAGAGTTAGTTGCCATGATGATAGCACTTCAGTGGGTAGAGGAGGTAAAGCCAAGATTGGTAGTTACGTATATGTTCTGATTCTTATGCAGCAATAACAAGCCTTGTAAGTGGAAATACATCAGCAAGACAAGATGTAGTATATGAGATTCTTACTAATATATTAAGAATTAGCAAAGTTAGTTTAATAGTGTTCTTGTGGGTTTCTGCACATGTGGGAGTGGAGGCTAACGAAGAGGTGGATAAATTAGCTAAGCAAGCTGTAAAATATATAGATATAACTATTAAATTGAATTTGAGTAAAAAAGAGGTTAAAGGTAAAATTAAAGAATTTATTAACAATAACTGGCAAGAAGCATGGAACAGTGGTAACAAGGGAAGACATATGTATAGAATTCAGAATGAAGTAGGAAATGGAAGAAGAGTGTTTAGGAATAGAAGAGAAGATACTATTATTTCTCGCATTCGAATAGGACACACTAGATTAAATCATTCTTTGTTTAAAATAAGAAAACACAAAACGGGTAAATGTAATTACTGTGATCAGGATGAAACAATTGAACATGTTTTAATTAAATGTGAAAAATATGTAACAGAAAGATTAGAATTTATGAAGGAAGTAAGGAAATTGGGTGTTGAATATTTTAATATGGAAAACATTTTGAAAGTACATAAAGATCAAGATAAGATATTTAGTGCTATTATAAAATTTAAAGCAATAGGAATAGACGGGAGAATTTGAGTCAATTGAGTTAAAGTTATTATTATAATATATATATATATATATATATATATATATATATATATATATATATATATTTTATATTAAATTACACTCTCTTATCAGTGCTCCACACGCAAGTCTATTAGCTATTAGTCAAAGCTATTAGAAGAAGAAGAAGAAGAGCTGCTAACTCTTCCGTTCAGTGTGCGATGACAGATTGCATCAGCCGCTGCTAGTGATCAGGTTCACGGCAATCACGAACAGCTGAAGACGGGTTTCAGAATCATTATTGCCTTCCAAGTGGATGCCTTATGTTCGTGTGCGTCCTATAAAGAGTGAGTGTTGTTCCGTGATGTTTGCTGATTGATGCTCGTTATCAGTAATGACACAGTTAACAGCTGTTCTGACGCTGTTCGTTAATCTGTCGATCTTCCAAGTATAGAGTTATAATGTTTATACTGTTATGGTAAATAATATAGATAAATAGTAAAGTAAATATGATGGAAGATGTTATAGTCAGTGTTTATGTATTATTGTATCATTGTTATGAGGGGAGCAGCCTATAGTCAGTGGATGATGATTTGTAATGTTGCTATTATTGAGTATTGCTTCTGTGTGTTGCAGAGAAACCACACAATCGCATACAAGCATCTACATCCTTTATTATGAGCATGCCAAACATGTTTATGCCAGCCAATGGTGATTCAGCCCATTTATGACCCAAACCCACGTCATTTGAAGCAGGGCCTACCGTCTGTACTTCAGGTCTCCACTGAGTGTGCTTAACTCACATTGTGTCATTGTCCACCAAGTCTTGCACGTGCTACGGCAATCATCTTCATGCTTAAATACAAATAAGGAACTCCATACCATCTGGCGAAAGCTCTCATCAATCTACTGCACTATCGATCTCAAGTTCCATAGCTGTTAAAGTTTATGTAAAGGCTGTCTCCTCCTCTCATGCTAATTCTGCATACCAGTGAGAATAAATCTATTCAAACTGAACCTTCACTCTGTGGTGTTCTGACCGACACACCTGGTTCACTGCGATCTAACTAGCCCTAGCAGCTTCAGGTAGTTCTTCGCTACATATCCGCTTGTGTATTTTTTAGGTAATTTAAAACTTTATTATTTTTTTTGTTTGTTTGTGAACCAACTCCACGAATATTCCAAGTTATGAATTTCAACTGCATGAACCTATAATGTACATTTCATAGTTACCTTGTGTGAGTATAAGTCTGTGTGTGTGGATGTGAATGTGGTTGAGTGTGGATGAGGTTTCATTTTTTTAATGAACAGCCCTACACCTGAGAGAAAGTTTAACATTTGGAATACAGCCTCTTTTTGAATGCATTTATTCAACAAGACACTCCATTTGTAGTCAGAAGCAGATAATTCAGTGCAGGGCAGCATATTGGGCCATGTTGGGCAATCCTGATGCTACACAACAGCTCAGAGCACAGCGGAAATTGTCCATTTCGCCTGCAACAGACCTGTATAGAAAACAGATGCAAGGAATGCAATGGAATATAGCCTGCATTAGACTTAGATACTTAGATATCTAATGCAGTGTGAAATGATCTGTGAGATTTAGTGTTTGTGGAAGTTACCATTCATCTGTCGTCTTATTATAGCACTCCACATCACAGGTGGTGCTTTTTCCGTCAAATCCTCCTACGGCCAATAATCGTCCATTAACTACCTGCATTTTGAGGAAGTTAAAAAGGGAAATAAATAATGTACAGCTAAAGTCTTTAACTTTACATTAATAAATCTCATTATAGATGCAACGCTTCATTTAAATATAGTTGGAATGTTTTGACACACATTGGTCTTTGAAGACTTTGATCTTTGACTTTGAAGACAATTTTAGGGGGCAATTATTGTCAATATGGGACCAAATACATTACCCCCCCCCCCCCCCCCATATTCATTATCATCAAATCATTTTTGTAAAGTTATTTTATAGTTTCACCAGAGACAGATATTAACTGACCACATCTCACCTCAATGCCAAAGTTGCTGCGTGGATTGTGCATTGATGCAACGTCCTGCCAATTATTGGTCAGTGGATTGTACACCTCTGTACTCCGCAAATAATGACTACGCGTTCCATCAAATCCACCAACCTTTAAATAAATACACTTTTTATTCATCTATTCTGTGCATTTGTATATGCACATTGCACAACCATGCATGTATTTACTTAAGTGCAACCTTTAAACTGTGATTGATCCATATTTCTGTATTTGTGTTATGGTTATCATAGTTAATTAAAACTATAACCCTGATATGTGTGTGTGTTTAATACTCACGGCATACACTAGATCTGCATAAGCAATTACACCAACACCACTGCGGCGGCTGCTCATGGGAGCGATGAGAGTCCACTGGTTTGTTTCAGGGTTGAATCTCTCAGCAGAGTCGAGATACTCGACCCCAGTAAAACCACCACAGATATAAATCTGACAAACACAAAAATAACATGCATGATGTTTGTGCACAATCTTCACAGATTGATCAGAAAACCAGTGTTTAAAACACTCTGTAAATTGTATGATATTCCTTTCCAAATTCACACGATCCCCATGTCATATCTCAATTTCACATTTCCTTCATGCTTTACAGCCATTAAATAGTGTCCAGCACTATTTAGTGTGGAATCATGGGTAAGTGCTCTTACCCTGCCCTGCAGTGAGGTGGCGCTGGCGTTACTCCTGTGTTCATTCATGGGTGGCATCATTGTCCACTGATTGGTGTTTGGATCGTAGCACTCTACTGTTTTAAGCCGTTGGTGTCCATCAAAACCACCGATGGCATAAATGAGCCCACCTAGAACTGCAACACTTACAAAGCATCGGCGTTCATGCATGGGGGCCACCTGCAACACACCAAATCAGTGTGCGGACACACATCAGTACACCATCTCATTGGTTCTGTCCTGAATGTTATATTTCATTCTGGTGCGCTTAATGTTATGGCTGTTAAATAGTAGCCTATGCTATTCACCAACTAAACATATCCTATTCAATGCGTTCACAGTCTCTTTCACAGCCATCATTTGTAGGAGCCTATTCACAAACTGTTTGCTCAAGCATAGCCTGGTCTCAATGCTAAGTTATTACTGTGTCATGAAGATTAACAGATCAACAGATTTTGTTGAATAATAGTGCACTGCACTATTATTATTCAAAGCTATAACAGTTGCTGGAACACAAACAAAAATGTATCATGGTTTTACCACTTTTTAGACATGTAATATGATAATACAGTGGTATTCTTTGAAGTAATTTGGAGTACAGCACATCATTCAGCACTATGGTCCATATCTGTTTTATGAAAGGAAGCTAAATTAAAGTTACATGTTGACCTACAGCATTACTCACCTCGTGCCAAGTCTGAGTGATTAGATTGAATTTCCTCATGCTGTTTAAATACTCCACACGGTCAAAACCACCAATGCAGTAGACAAACTCATTCAGGACTGCTGTACCATGATAGGCTCTGGGACGCTCATCCTCTTGAGTCACACGGACCCAGCAATCTGCCTTCAGATTATATGCCTCAATCTCATTGATGAGATTGTCGTCGCTCCATCCTCCGATGGCCAATAGGATCGATGAGGGCAGACGTGGACGTGACCGTTGATGCGTGAGTTCTGGGTCGGTGGGTTCATCCATGTTGTGGTTAAACAACGTCGTCAGTGTATTGATGATAACAGGCAAGCAGGCTTCATTCTTCATTACTAGTGCATTGCATGTTATATTATTGCTGAGGAATTCTGATTGTATCAACCCCCATCGAACCTAAAGCACAAGGGAGAGTTTTCAGAGACTGTTGTAAGACTGTTAATAAGCAGTTATATGGTGTTCAAAAATTAAAACGGATTTCCAAAAAGACTTAACACATTAAGTTGTTTATTGAAAAATTATTTCCAAAATAAAGTAAGTTATTGCTTAAAACAAAAGGAGGAAAAAATCTGTCAGAAGGGGAAGAACAATAAACTTGATTGCCCTTTGAATTAAGCTTATTTTTCTTACCGCATGCCAGGATTATTATAGTTAAACTAAAACCCTAAAATAAAATGAAAAACCTTTTCTCATTTTTATTTAGTCTGATGTAAACTAAAATAACACAAATTTAAGAAAAACTGAAGAAATGTTAGTAAATTGTAGACAAATGTATATATATATATATATATATATATATAGCAAACCATCTTGATTTAAGATTTTTAAGATATTGGCAATGAAAAAAATCGTAGTTTTACCTTCGGCAGAAGCACGGCAATGTGTTGCGTTCTGTTTGATGGTTCATGATTAGTCCAGTGGAGGACGGCTTCAAAAACCACCTCCTCCTGTTTGACATTCAGCTCATCCTCATCAATGATCTCCTCAAGCTGTTCCACGGAGAGCTCCAGGAACTCCTCAGATACGTGCAGAACCTCCTCAAAGTGCTGCAGGATGTAGTGCTTTGCTTTACAGTGGAGCTTTGAGCAGGAGTAAAAGTCCTCTGTAAACTTGCAGATACCAATGCAGTTCTCTGGGCATAAATGTGACTCCAGGAACTGACAGCAGGCATCTACAAGACCTGAGACTAAGATCAAGTCAGCCGCCACCAAGAGCTCCACCACATTCTCTTGAGTGATGAGCACAGATCTTGTGTACGCATACTGGATAATAAGAGGCATGATGTCTTGGGATATTCCTGGAATTTCACAGACATGTTGTGGGCTGTTCCAGTTGTTGGAGAAAAGAGCCCTGTGAACAAATTTGACAAAGAAATGCATTAATAATGAGCATATATAGAATAACTTTTCGTTATTTACATTTTAATTTCAGCCAAATTTACGTACTTGAGAAACAGATTCTCAAGTAATTAAATTCGAAATGCTGGGTGAAACTTCATTCATAGCCACTTCCAGAATCAAATTTCCAGATTATTTTTTTTAGATATCATGGTTACATTCTTTGTTCTGGCAATACACTCTCATTCATTTTCATGCATTTATATATTTGGACAGCTTAGGCTGTTTTAACAGAATGATGTTAGCTGTGGAAATTATGTATTATAATATTGTCTGTGTAATTTGCACACAATTGCAGTTCAAATGCTTCTTCTCACCTAAAGTAGGTGCTGCAGCCACACATGATGATCTTGTGCACTTGAAATTCTCTGTCGTTTGACTTGATGATCATGTCAGTGTGTTCTCCCAGTAAACGTGCTTCATCAAACACATCAAAGGCTGTGGCTCTTATGTTCTCCATGTTCTCTCAGTATTGTAAATGTATTCAATCTTCTCACCTCAAACTCTGATTAAAGTCACCTCAGGGTTTTGTCTTTGTTGGGACTTTTGCTCAGGAGAGTTCTATAGAATGTCTTTGTGACATCATAGTAGAGCTTGACATGTTTCTTTCAGTTTGTGTCTTGGCCACATACAGAGTTTTGTTTTATCGATTCCTTTTGCATAAACCATCTTCACAGTTACAAAGATATAAAAAAATATGAAATATCTTTGTAACTCAGTGACAAATAAAATAAATAAAGCATGGGATAATTAGTCATTTGAATATGCAATCATCCATTTTGATTGCACAAAATATACTAAAGAATACAAAATACATAAATTATTTTACTGTCAAAAACCATTTACCATTTATTATCTTTGACTGTGACCCCAAACAAGTTTAACAGAGGCCTGTATGAAGATAATTATTTTTCACAGATGTCATATTTCCATTCCATTTCAAGGTTACACAGCATTAGGCCACATCATGAGTGAAATGTCTTGCTTTTATTAGTTAAATCTGTAAATTAGTAGATTTCCTGCTATTATAGTAAAATACTAATAAATGGCCAAGCTGAGTTTTTTTTTTTAATTTACAAATTTAAATATTCAACAAACAAGACTTTGAATAGTCACTAAGACACTAAAGCAGTATCTGAAATTGCCCCTATACCAGCTGCAGTTCTCCAACTGGTTTTAGTTTTTGTAGGAATTTGACCTTCTTAAAACAAAAAGAACACTGAATTCCATTTAAATACAATAAAGCAATACATGCACACAAAAGTAAAACAAATATTTCAAACTCATTCAAGTTCAAAAGAATTATAAAGAACAATATCTCTTTACAATAAGGTCTAAAAGCAAAAGCATTAGCAAACATTAGCAAAAGCTACATTTAAACTTTCTGTGTTATCAATTAGTTTAAAACTACAATTTATCATTTTTAGTTCATGTTGGCTCAGGTCCGTTATTAATTTAATTTTGCAATTAATATGAACTAAGTTTAATAAATGTTTTAGAAGTATTGTCCATTGTCAGTATATGTTAACCTGTTAACTGTCACCCCCCCTTTTTTGAATAGACATGAAAATGCACATTTCAAACTTTAATGGTTGTAATTCAAGAATGCTTTGGAATATAGACATATGATTGGTCTTGTTTTAAAGAAGACATTTGGCAGATTTTTGTAGAAGTGAAATAAATTAAGAAAGTGAAACAGAAAAAAAGTTATAGAAGTTTGAGTTTATGGAAATGTACAATGAAAAAATATTAATTATTCATATTTTACATAAAATATATATTTTCAAAACCTGGGCTACTCTAAAATGGCAGAAAGATCAAAGCCAAAAATCTGAAAAAGTTGTGTTTCAAATTTTAGGTTGATATCTCAAAAAATGAGCTTTCAGTAAGATTTTGTTTGAGCGCAGTACCAAACTTTTTCACTAGGGCACAATCAGACTCCATTACTGCCCATATAAGGGCGCCTGCATTTCCATTCCTGTTTTGAGTGATATGAACCATTATTTTCACAATTTTCAAACAATTTCTGAAGTAGAGATCCTATTCAGAAGTAGCATGGGAAGTTTGGCAGATTTTGATATGAATTGAACCTCTAAGAAACCCATACAAAGAACACGCATGTAAGTCATAGCTAGCTGCCACGTCACAAATGGTGAATTTATTATTTTTTTCTTGATATTTCAAACTTTTCAGACCTTTTTTCCAAAATAATTGAATGGATTCTATCTTTTGAACTTTTGGCATGAAAACAAACTGAGGTATCTACCATTTTTTCATGATTTTTCATGTTTACTGCTATTTTAAAATAAAGGTCTGAACACGCCTTATGAGTATGAAAATATTCTTGTTTTATATTGATAAATTATGGCTCCTCTGTAATATATTTTGAAAATCAGTCACCAAATATGGAAACTAGAGATTGTAAGCTTTCAAATGATATATAGTTTGTCAATATTATTTAAGGTATTTACTAAGATATTATTGTTTTAAAAATATAGTGGCAAACGTCCCACCTGTGGGACGGTGACAGTTAACCCTCTAAGACCGACGGGAGCGCCGGCGCTCCGGTTTGCGTGTGTCTGTTCAAGAGCCTATAGAAACTGAAACCAAATGGCTAGCTCAATCATTCTTTTTGCATACAAAACCAGAGATGTAACATGTTCAGATCAAGCCTCCTTGTTTTCTACCTCTAATGAGTCTGTACAAATTGCGTAAAATGCGTTTCACAAAAAAAATAAAAAAATCACAAAAATGCATTGCACGTCTTTGCACATGTTCTGTAAATTAAACTTTATTATTATTATTATTATTATTATTATTATGTGGCCATGCCTCTGGTGGAGTGTGCTTTAACTCCAATGGGGAATTGTGGGCCCATCGACGTGTAGGCCAACGCAATCGCACTATCTAGTGGGACAGTCTTTAATTAGTGGATGCCCTTTGGTGCTGCGCCAGACTAATCTCAAATATTCTAAAGATCCCTTGTAAGGTTTTTTTTATTTTTTATTTAACAGTCAGACATACATACAAACAAACCAACATAGTGCAGTTGTGAGCAATCTTGTAAATCCATAATTCCAGCAGTGGCAAGAGTGATTTAAGTGTTTGATCTAAGTGTGTATGTGAGCGGGTGTGAGTGTGGGTATGTGTATGTGTGTGTAAACAAAGTAACCATTTATTATTTATTTCCATTTTCATTACCATCACCATCCCACTCCCCACTACCACCATACATATTGTGTTTGTAGATTTTTATTTCCATCCTTCCTCCTATGTAACAATTGCCATTGTCAGTCCTGTATAAAATGAAATATGATATAATAAGATAATATAATATAAGATAACCTTCCCCCACATCTCATCAGGGCTGGACTGGGACAAAAAATCAGCCCTGGACACTTCATCCAGACCGGCCCACTATGCATGTAAACACACACACACACACACACACACACACGTGCATTAATCTATATGTGCATTAATCTGCATCTATACGTGCATTAATCTGCATGTAAAATTACTGATTAGATTTTATTTACTATCAAAACCAAGAAAAAACTATTAAAATAATAAACAAAGAAAATGGAAATGATTTTATAAGGCTTTATTGTAAATAACTGGTCTTAATTTATGTGCCCGCTTATTATTCTAATAGAATATTCTTAGGCTATACTATATAAACTATATTTCATGAAGTGCAACATCACTGCCAGGACCTACAGAATATATATTCTGTAGGTCCTGGCAGTGATGTTTCACCTCATGAAATATAGTTTATATAATAGTATACCTATATTTCATATATACTACATCATTTATACAGTGTGTATATATATATATATATATATATATATATATATATATATATATATATATTATATATATATATATATATATATATATATATATACATATATATATATACATATATGTATATATATATTAATCCTTGTTAAAGCTGTTAGTCAAGAGCAGTGAGTTATTTACACAGACAGTAGGTAAGGCTTCTGCCAGGCACTTTCAGGGATACAAATTGAAAAAATATGTATATATGCAAATATGTGGCGGCTATATGACAAATTGTATTGAGTGAAATGTAAATAATCCTAAATATGTGTGTTATTTATATGCATTTCAGTTTGTATTATTTTTGTCATTTAACATATTTATGACAATTATTTATGCAGTATTTGAATACTATTGTATTGTGTACACAAGATATATATTATTATAAACCTAGCTAGTAGATGGCTTCCGGTATGCGACGGAACGAGATGGACGTGTGAAACGTGAGCTCCGTAAAGTCAGGCGATTAAAACCCCTTGAATTCAGAGAATATTATCCAAGTTTAGGTAAAAGACTGGAATATGAGTGGGGGTAAAACAAGAAACCAAAAGATGACTGGAAAAGCGGAACAAGAGGGACGCAAAGAAGCGAATACACCCGAGGCAAACAATGCTAACATAAACGCACACAGCAGTGCCTCGACTTCTCAACCGAGTTTGAAAGATATAAGCGATCAAATAACTAACCTTCGAACCCAACTAAATACCGATCTAACTTCGTTTAAAGATGAGGTGAAGAGAGAAGTGAAAGAGGAACTGTCAGAATTCAGACAACAGATTAACCAACAGTTAACTGCTACGACGCTAACCCTACAAGATCATGACAATAAACTCGAGGCGGCGGAGGCGCGCATTGAGGAATTGGAAAGTTGGTCAGCAGCGGCAAATGAAGTGCTCCAAGAGTCACTAAAAGAGCAAAGGGCACTGCGGGGAAAAGTTGACGATTTGGAGTCAAGGGGGAGACGAAACAACCTCAGAATATACGGGGTACGCGAGGAAATGGAAGGTCCCTCTGTGATTCAATTTGTGGAGAAGCTGTTGGTGAGCGAAAAACTTATTGAAGAAGGAACTGATGCCCAAATACAACGCGCACACCGATCACTGGGCCCGAAACCGACCCCCGACAACCCCCAAGATCAATAGTTGTTAACTTTCTTCAGTATAGAGTCAAAGAATCAGTTCTCAGAAACGCCTGGAAAAAGAAAATTCAGCTTGGGGATAAATTTCTCTCTTTTGACCACGACTACACAACAGACGTGATTCAGCAACGCAAAGCTTACAAAAAAGTTAAGATTGTTTTGAAAGAGCACGGCATACGCTTCCAGACGCCATACACCCGGTTGCGGATCCATTGGGAGAGTGGCCAACAGACCTACAACAGCGCTGAGGAAGCCGAAAGTGATCTGCGTCGCCGTGGTCTTTTGCCAGAGGACCATCCCGGTGGGGATAATACCAGCGGAACTGGCTTATCAGCGACCCGAAGACTGGACCAAATATCGTCTTGGCAACGCATGCCCCGGCGCGGAGAGAAGGACACAGGCAGGAGAGCACGGGAGCGGCTGCGGGAATTCCAACGGAAGCTCAATACTTGAACCGAGAAGACAAAGACCTGGAGGCCTGATGGAAATAGGTACCAACTATGTTCCAAAGAACTATGTGTTCAGTTCTATTTTGTCATCGACTGTCAACGATATAAACATTATCATTGTCATTTTTTATGATTCAAATAGCCTGATTTGAA